AAGGAAAGAGTAAAATTTACAGATAGCACTGGTGAACAGACAGCTCTGAAAAACATGCGTAGCAACACATCACCTGGGCTTGTTACAAGGAATGTCACTGAAATTGTTACACAGCGAATCATATTGAATGATCTAACAGCTCTCTGGTCTTGGACCTGTGGAGTCAATAGTCATTAGGAGCCTTCCCAACTCAAATAGTAAAAAGCAACACTGTATTTGTTGCAGGAATGTGATCATTGGATCAATTTTTCTTCCTCTGGTCAAGACGGACCTTTCATTCAGATAACTTACATACAGGACAAGGAAGGCAAAACTGGGATTTCATCACTGCCTCTCAGATCCACCCCAGCCCTGCAGACCACCTGCACCGCAGTCTCCTGCTCCTAGTGCTCTCCACGTTGTCCAGCACTGTCTCTGCAGATGCCCCCTCCAGGACTCTCCTTCCCTCTCAGCCTCTGTCCTGGACTGGATCACTGACACAAAGAGGTTTCTCCTCTACCATTCTTGCCACTTTTAAACACTTCCCTCAAATAACCACATCCATCATCTCTTTGTCCTCACATCTCTATCCAATCTATAGTCCTCCTTTAGCTCTTTCACTCACAGAATCTCTCATTTCACTTGTTTTTCCCCTCCCAAGTGCCCCTGCCTTCCTCTCACTCCTCTCTGCAAGACACTCAATAACAAGAGACATCAACCTGACAGTCACCTGGTCATCGCTTACCACAGCCTATTCCTTCATTCAGCTTTTTGTATCGGTTTTACTAACTTCTCCTCAGCCTTCTCCTCCCTGTTCCCTCTTTCTGAGCTTCCCATCAGCCCTCAGCCAGGTTCCTCTTCCTGAAGGAAGTTCTAGTTCTCCACTTCTCTAACCATTTCTTCAGCACATCTTACCAGTGATCATCTACCTAAGGGTAAGATCCAGATCAGCTTCTCTTGAAATCCTATACCTCAGACACTGTCCTCCTTGAATACATTCTTTGAAGCAAGTACATCTCAAGTCTTTCTTTATTCACCACCTTCCACTGTAGTGTCTAAGCTGGGACTGGTTCTCAAAACCATTATATAATATGGCTAAAGAAGAACTTTATATATTTATACACACATACCCCATCAATTTTAGACATCCAGAAGTTAAATTTTTGCATTCTTTATCCTCTCTTCCTGTGTTCTGAATAATGCCAATAGTAAGTCAGCAATGGATAAAATAAATTTAAAGAGACCACATTAAAAAAAACCAACCAAACAAACCACAAAAAAACAAACCAACCACCACATTTTAAAAGATGTCAGAAAGTGAGGCAAAATTTCTTGTTGTAATTCAAAGAGCTGGAAGACAGGAACACATAGATGACCAGTATTTTTCCTACAAGAGACACATCAGGTACTTTCTTCAAAGAAAGAAACATCTAAAGTGCTGACAAAAACCAGCAGGTCAATGATGGGAAATTATAGCTTAATACAGGACAGCTTTCAAGCGTGCAGCTTCCCCAGGAACCAACACTGTGGTTACTGCATTATGAGTCTCCTGCCAGCTGTCACTCAGGAATGACCATGACAAGAAACCCGCCAGCCCTTCCCATTGACACTTAGCCAGCAGAGATACTGCCTTGTTGGCCCAGACATCTCTATTCACTAGCATTCTTGAAGCTATCAGCCCATTGCCCATATGACTGAGAAAAGCAGCAGCTTTTGTATTTCTATTTTCTTCTTTACCCATAACAATAGCCTGTACAGAATTAAGACTGGCATTGCAGACTTTAATCTGCTTGCTGAAGAAGTGGATGCCTTACTCTCACCTTGATTTTACTGCAGGAGTGCCAAGACTATGAGTTTCAGTGACCCAACATCTCTAAGTTAATATTCTTTTCTGATATAAACCCTTTTTTGTACATACACTACTGCTGCTAAGAGCAGCAAAATAAAACCTTCTGCCAAGGTTTCTGCCATTTGTTTGTTCTGGAGATGCTGATTACCATGTCATTCCCCATCACTGCTGACAGTGTTCATCCAGTTTTCCTTCTTTGGTAAAAACAAATACATTGTCCTTGGCACCAGCACAGGGCTAAGGCAGAGACAGAATGGGCATGGAAAAGAAAAGTAAAAGCCACAGCAACAAAACCTTTCATTTCAGAAATGTGGTTCTAAGGAGAAATCAACTTCATTTTCAGGCTAAACAGCTTTCATTTTGTCTCACCAAAGACACTGGACTCTGGACATGAGCTCATTGGCTTCCAGGTCACTTTTGATGTGATACCTCATGTGACAGATGTCCTCGCCTAGACAACATGGCCAGACAGATGTTTTTCTCCTTGTCCATTCTCCTCCTCACATTTTCCAATTTGTCATATATGTATTTTTCTCTCCACCCTCACGTATTTTAATTCCCCTACTTCATTTGCAACAGTTCCTTCACACCTTATGGCAATTCTGCAAGACTCTTCTGGTGCGTACATATTGCCACAACTGAACTGATTATACAGGCACACAGGACAGAAAACCTGGAGGACAAATGATTCTCCTATGGCAGACTGTATCTTGGGTCACCTGCAGCAAGGAGTGAAGAGACGTGACTTTCAAGCAAACAGTTGCTGTTCTGGCTTTGGCAAGAACTAACTCACTATCACATGTATGTGTATGACATGCAAACACATGCATCGGATATTGTATTTGTATGTACAAGTATGTAAATAAGTGTTACATACTAGACGCATTAAAATGTGAGACTCAGTGGTATTCAAATATTTGTAGTTTGCTACAAATATGTATAGACTGTTTTGTTTAAAAGCATGTTTGTAATTTGGCCTGTTTAGGGGCCTCATTGACAGAATCCCTTGGGAGGCAAGTCCTGAAGGGCAAAGGAGTCCAGGAAGGCTAGACATTCTTCAGGAGGAAATCTTAAAGGCATAGGAGCAGGCTGACCCCATGTGCCAAAAGATGAGCTGACAGGGAAGAAGACGAGCCTGACTGAACAGAGAGCTTTGGCTAGAACTCAGGAAAAGGAAGAGAGTTTATGACCTTTGGAAAAAGGAGCAGGCAACTCAGGAGGACTACAAGGGTGCCGTGAGATTATGTAGGGAGAAAATTAGAAGGACCAAAACCCAACTAGAACTTAACCTGGCTACTGCCATACAAGACAAAAAAAATCCTTCTGTAAATACATGAGCAACAAAAGGAGGGCTAAGGAGAATCTCCATCCTGTATTAGATGTGGGGGAAACACAGTGACAAAGGACGAGGAAACCGCTGAGGTACTTAATACCTTTTTTGCCTCAGTCTTTAATAGTAAGACCAGTTGTTCTCCAGGTACCCAGCCCCCTGAGCTGGAAGACAGGGATGGGGAGCAGAATGAAGCCCCCATAATCCAAGGGGAAATAGTTAGCGACCTGCTACACCACTTAGACACACACAGGTCTATGGGGCCAGATGGTATCCACCCAAGGGTACCAAGGCAGCTGGTGGAAATGCTCACCAAGCTACTTTCCATCTTTTACAAGCTAACCAGGGAGGTCCCAGTTGACTGGAGGTTAGTAAATGTGACGCCCATCTACAAGAAGGGCCAGAAGGAAGATCCAGGAACTACAGGCCTGTCAGACCTCAGTGCCGAGGAAGGTTATGGAGCAGATCATCTTGAGTGCCATCACACAGCGCATACAGGACAACCAGGTGATCAGGCCCAGTCAGCATGGGTTTATGAAAGGCAGGTCCTGCTTGACTAACCTGATCTCCTTCTATGACAAGGTGACCCGCTTAGTGGATGAGGGAAAGGCTGTGGATATTATCTACCTAGACTGCAGTAAAGCCTTTGTCACAGTTTCCCACAGCATTCTCCTGGAGAAACTGGCTGCTCATGGCTTGGATGGGCGTACTCTTTGCTGGGTAAAAAACTGGCTGGATGGCTGGGCCCAAAGAGTGGTAGTGAATGGATTTAAATCCAGTTGCCGGTGGGTCACAAGTGGTGTTCTCCAGGGCTCAGTATTGGGGCCAGTTCTGTTTAATATCTTTTATCAATGATCTGGACGAGGGGATCCAGTGCACCCTCGGTAAGTTTGCAGATGACACCAAGTTGGGAGGGAGGGTTGATCTGCTCAAGGGTAGGAAGGCTGTACAGAGGGATCTAGACAGGCTGGATCGATGGGCTGGTAGGCTAATTGTATGAGGTTCAACAAGGCTAAGTGCTGGGTCCTGCACTTGGGTCACAACAACCCCATGCAATACTACAGACTTGGGGAAGAGTGGCTGGAAAGCTGCCCAGCAGAAAAAGACCTGGGGGTGTTGGTCAACAGCCAGCTGAATATGAGCCGGCAGTGTGCCCAGGTGCCAAGAAGGCCAACAGCATCAGAAATAGTGTGGCCAGCAGGAGCAGGGAAGTGATCGTCCCCTGTACTCAGCACTGGTGAGGCCGCACCTGGAGTACTGTGTTCAGTTTTGGGCTCCTCACTACAGGAAAGATATTGAGGTGCTGGAGCGTGTCCAGAGAAGGGCAACCAAGTTGGTGAGGGGCCTGGAGCATGAGCCTTATGAGGAGCAGCTGAGGGAGCTGGGGTTGTTTAGCCTGGAGAAAAGGAGGCTGAGGGGAGACCTTATTGCTGTCTACTACCTGAAAGGAGGTTGTAGCGAGGTGGGTGTTGGTCTCTTCCCCCAAACAAGAAGCAATAGGACAAGAGGAAATGGCCTCAAGTTGTGACAGGGGAGGTTCAGATTGGATATTAGGAAAAAATTCTTCACCAAAAGGGTTGTCAAGCATTGGAACAGGCTACCCAGGGAAGTGCTTGAGTCACCATCCCTGGAGGTATTCAAAAGACACGTAGATGTGGTCTCAGGGACACGGTTTAGTGGTGGACTTGGCAGTGCTAGGTTAAAGGTTGGACTCAATGATCTTAAAGGTCTTTTCCAACCTAAACAATTCTATGATTCTATTTTAATTTAAGAAATAAAACAAACACAAATTTTATTTAGCATTTCAGAGGAAGGGGGTGAAGAACCAAACAAACTACTCACCAGAGAGAGGATCTTTGCCAATCATTAAAACATTTGGTAAATTCATTACAATCAGCTGCTGGAGGACCTCCTATACAAGAGAGAACAACAGGCAAAGTTCAGCATGGAGGAATCCCAATCAATCACACTACAAAGAATACAGAGCTCCATCGATTACAAAGCTTTTAACATACTGGCAGGTCAGAGTTCACAAGAGGAAGCCCCCCACTTGAGAAAGAAATCACTATTTGAAGATGGCATCAGATTGCACAGCTAACATACACTAATCACCTCTTTTAACAATGGATAATATAGAATTTAAAGGGTCCCATGGCACTAATCAGGAAAAATGCACAGCCATGCCAGGCACACCAATCAGCCATGCCTTTACTCCAGCCATGACCTGTATTCATTTGATGTTCACCATTCAGCTGCTGTCATGTTTCAGGGCATATAAGTGCAGCTGGTTCAAAGGTACCTAAGCCATTCTGTGAAGTTTGAGTAATTCAAATAATTGGTCAAATTATTTCATGGGTCTGAGATTTTAATGATGGGCTGGGGAAGTGAGTGTGGGGGAAAGCTATTGAACAGGCATCTGGCACTGCTCAGAGAAACTGGATTTAAAGTTCTAGATTTGTTTGCATTGTTTTTAATGGGGAGTAAACCAGATTTAAGTATGTCACGAACCTCATTTAAAGGTCATTTTATTTTGGGGGAGACGAGGGAAGGGAAGTGCATTGGTTCGTCTGGTTCACCATTTAAATCTCAGCTGCCTGAAGCTACTCTGACATGACAGAATGGGCTTAAGGGAGAGGAAAGGCTATGAGCCCTGGGGCAGGCAAAATGCTTAAAAGGTGGACAGATAAATACATTGCAAAGGAGACTGCATACTAATATGATCAGCCATGCACCCCAGTAACATACAGAGCACAGGAGTACAGTTTTTAGCTTCAACCTGCAGCTACCAGCGCTCACTTGTGATGATCCAAATAAAACATTTGCCCGCAAGCATTTATTTCACAGAAAAAGCCTGGGAGAAAAATGGTTGTGTGATTAAAACACTGTGCTGGGATTCAGGAAACAATGGTTCACACATACAACTCTACCAAATGTTTGGCAGGTGCCTTTTCCTCATTTGTCTCCATTTCCCAGCCTACCTCTAGGGCACTGGGAGAGCACATGCATTGATACTTGCAGAGCGTTCAGAGCTAGGGGAAAAAGTACTGCAGCCAAGCACAGAAACACATTTCCTGAAACAATCACCCGTTCACCCAAACACTTCCCCTCCAAGTTACCCCATTGTTATTTCTCTGCTTTCAAAGTTATCATAAGAGGAAAATTAAGCCTGATTGAAAGAGGAAATATTTCAGTGAGCCTGCAGCATTTGATAAGTAATCACAGTGGATATTCTAAAAAAATGTTTTGGACACACATTTAATTTTTTCCCCTCTGATCCAAAACATACTCCTCAGCAGTCTCTTTTGGATAAAGTAGAAATATCTCAAGTGTCACAGCTGATGGGGCTTTTGGTGCTGTTAAGAAAGAAGGCTCTACAGACCTTTATGCAATGTGAAGTTTGGCTAATGTAGACCAAGCATTCACTGAGTCATTAGCCAAATGCATTTTATAGTTTGTGCATTTGAGACATGTTGAACAAAGTTTGTTTGCACCTGTTACCAAAACTGGTGCAAAACCTACTGAATTTAGCAGCATATGCCTGGACTGCAATATCTGCTATGACAATACAGTACGGCACTGAGGCTTTAATAAAAAAATCAGAATTTGCATATACCGAAGTATTGAGCTTTAACCAGCAATTTCCATGGCAAAAAAAAAGAGAAAGAATTGTGCTTCCAGTCACCCAGCATGTGGAGTGGCACTGAGGCAGGAATGCATAAGGAATTTGCGTTGTCTTTGTGTAATCATTGGATCGCTAGCTATTTAACTGGCAGACACAAAAGACATTACAGCTAACCTTTATGCTGTTAACGTTCCCATGAGCAACTTCTGTAAAATTATTTGAGTATACCATCCAACATAACCATGACTGAACACCCTCGTAGGTGTTTGAGCTTAATATTTCCTGGTAAGAATCCAACAGTCACCAAATACAAGCAGAAACAGCCCTGAGTGATTAAGTAATTAAGATTCAGATTGAAAGATTCAAATTGTTGCAAGAGGTGATACTCTGACCTGTTTATTTTTAAAATAAATTATTTAAACAGATAACTATCTTTATTGTTCTAAACGACTTCACCTTCAGATTAGTGCTTGTGATAACACCTAGCTGTTACACCGTGCAACTCACTGGTAGATCTCAACACTTTGTAAAGGAAGGTCAGTGTCATTGCCCTCCTTTTTCAAGATAAGGAAAGTGAGTCAAAGAAACAAAAAGTTACTTCAGTTTAATAAACTATCCTCTGTTAACAGAGATGTACCAGTGAACCATGCACTCACACAACTACAAGTGTGAGATAAAATGTGTTAACTTAAAGCTCTTACACTAACACTGACAAATTTAGCTCAGATTTTGTCCAAGCTAAAAACACAGCAAGTTAGCAAGGCTCAGCTGACACTCAGTGACTGACTCACTAGCTGGGATAATGTGACTGTGTCTCAGGTCCATTGCTTAAAATCCCACATCTGGAAATACAACCAAAGTCCCCTCCCCTAACAGCACATCAGAAATTCTTCACCTTCTATCCACTTATCAATATTTTCTTGTTTTCCTTACCTGAAGCAGCAATAACACAGGTTGACAAGTAAAATGCTGTACCTCAGTCTGGCCTCTCTGCTCTCCTCATGTCTTACCAACCTACCCAAAAGACCCCACAAAGTAAAACTTGTGGTTCAGGCAGGGAGCTGTCCTGTTATCGCCTGTGAACCAGGACTGAGGACTAAAGGCTCCACAGACTCAACTGCCTCCCAGGTTACAGCTACGCTGGACATTGGGTTAACCTGGACATGCCGCTGAAGTCCAGCCAGCAAAAGAAACACAGATAAAATGCAATGTTTCCCCACAAGGGTAGCAAGTTATTGTATTATGTAAAAGGATGTTGTTATGCTTGAAATCAACCATAGCTGCGAGACACCACAGCAGAGGCAGAGATGGCATGTATGTGTCCTGCCTCAGGCAACTGGCATGCCTAGGGGCAGCATGCCCAGGCAGGAGCTGCTGGAGAGCAAAGCAGGGTTTTCAAACACAAAAACTGACAGTACTCTGGAAAGCAACTGTCCAAGCAAAAAAAAGAAAAAAAAAATCTAACTCCTCCTGTGAGAAACCTTTTAATCATTTTTACAGCACAACTAAAGCTTGGTTAGAACAGTAAAGGTTACAGCAACAGCATATGGTAACAATTTCCCTGATTATTAGAACAATTAGGGTCTGAGCTGCTGGCTTTACACCTAGACCATTAAGCAACTCAGAGGCCAGCTACTACAAGTCAGGAATCACCTCCCTCAGAGTACCATTTGCCTTTTTTTTTAATTATTATTATTATTGTTGCTAATGAGATTTCCATCAAAAAAATAATGTTGGTATCAGAAGTGTTATTTAAGGAATCCAATTCGAAACAAATCCCCATCAGGTCTTCGTGCAGTATCTGTAGGTGCCTGAAACACTCCTCTGCCAAAGATCAGGATATTTTAAGCTTGAAGAGATTTGTCCAAAATCTCAGCTCTTTTGACAGCAGTGACAGTAGCAAGAACGGATGCTTCTAGTTAGCAGGTCAACACCACTACCACAAAATACAAAGATCAGCAGCCAAGTCTTACACTACTTGAGCCAGACCCCCAAACTCAGTAAATAAAGCCCACAAAGGTTTCTGCAGGCGGTTATGTGACTCCATATCGATAGGGAGACCTTTCTAAGTGAAGGTCAAACTGGGTGTTCAGTCCTTGATCGCTCGCTCTGCTGATCTTGCCCACAGAGATGCAGGGCATGAAGTAGGTAGGCTGAGACAACTGGCACATCTGAGCAACAAGAAGGATACTGCCTAAGCCAGAGGTAAGTTTTGCTAAAAATAGCTAGGCACTCTAGGACTGGTACCCCAAGGATTCAAAAACATTAAGTTACATAGAAATCATGAGGTTAAACATAAATAAATGCTGTGTTCTCATTAGCAGCCTTCTGGCATCTAAGCCCTTGCTGCACACTTGCTTCGCATTTGCAAGGTTTTTGCAATCACTTTGCTAAGAAAGGAGCTTAAAAAAAAAGCCAAAATCCCCCCCACATTGATTCTAGCAGTCAAGGGCTTTAGGAAAAATCAAGACACATATTCAGGATAAAATTCTAAGCACCAAGTTAAGCACTTAGGCTTATTAAGAGGATGAAGAAATATATTCATTCCTTCCATCTAAAAGTTTCTAATTTGTTTCTGATGTGCTGAGGCACATTTTACCTACTCTTTTTATCCTTCCAAGATCACACACACTGGATGTTTGCACTCTGCCTCAGGTCATCTGAAGAGATGCAGTGGCAGGTCTCACTCTCAAGTCATCATGGTCACATATTAACATTTTATTTACCTGGAACAGGCTAAATGGGCCCCCTGTAATTTTGTAGGAACAAAGTCTCCTTGGCCCATGCTACACTTCAATACACATTTGCTTCTTAAAAATATATGTGCAACAGCATGGAATAAAATGGTCTTAAGGTATTATTCTTGGCTGCATTTTAAAGTGCCAATGCAAGCATGCCAACAGCTCTTGCAAAGAACACATTGCTAGGAAAGGAGTAGGTAAAATTGTCTTTTCCATGGCTGAGAGACCACGCAAGTACAAGCTCTACACAGAAACCATCCCCTGCACTGCAGTGCAGCACAGCATTAACGTAGAGTAACTACTAGCTTCTCATGCAGAATTAAATTAACCTCTACCTGAATCCTAAACAAGAAGAGAGTACTAAATAAATTATGTAAGAAGAGCAGCAGTCTATCAGCCATTGTAATTCAATGCTCAAGCCAAACAATTCCATTGAAGTATATTGCTTGGCTATAAAATGCTAATTGCCCAGCTGACTGGAAGCCAAATGGTGCTTTCCTACTTAAAATGCCCATGAGGAAAAACCATCACCAGCTTTATTTATACCAG